CCCTTCAAATTTGAAGGTGAGTATGATTTTGTTACGAGTAATGCTATTCATAAACAGCGATTGCAGTAGTTATTCTATGTGACAATTTATTATTTGAGGCATTAATTCTTGTAATTCCATTGTCTCAAATAATAAGCTAATGCATCAAATAACAATATTTCATGTAAAACGACCACTACAGTCGTTGATTATGAATAAGATTACGCTTTTAATATTGACATATCAATCCAATCCAAATTTCACATATCAATAAGCTAGTGCAAATCTCGAGACAGAGCAAGAGCCAATTAAGAGATGTGAAGCTATAAAACTTCATGATATTGAAAAAAGAGTAGAAAACAGAACACAAGCCTCAAACCCATGTACAAAAGTCTATGAGGAGCATGTGTGACAAATCTTAAAGCCACAAGAATTTCCCTCTAATTAAGATTAAAAAAATAAAAAAATAAAAAATTTAACTAATAAATAAAGATCAATTCATACACGGCTGACGACTCGATTTGTATAGAACTCAATCCCAAGCTCTTCGACAATTATAAATACAGCCATCATGAAATCTTATAGGGTAATGCTTTAAAACGCATTTCTATTGCAAAATTAGATTTTTTTTTTTTTTTGCCGGACGAAAATACTAATAAATATAGCTTTGGAAAATAGTAATTATAAAATTGGGAACTAGATAAAATAAAAGTGCCAATCATAGACCAGGTTTGGCTAAGTTGAAATGAAATAAAATTACTTTTAACCTTTTGTTTTACTTAGTTTAAATAACAAAAGGTTGCTTATTATTTTAAATTTTGATAAATAAAATATATCATTTTATTTTAAAATTTACTCATTTACTTTTAACTAAGTCTTATATGTAAAATCTTTGAGCTTAGCATGACATGCCCACATGTTTGGCGGTGATTAAAAGATTTACTTGTAACTAATATATTTTAAATTAAATAATTTATTTTATAGATCAAATTTAGTAAAAAGCAAGCTATTACTTTTAGAGTAACGTTTATCTTGGTATCAAGATAAGTAATTTTATTATTATTATTATTATTATTATTATTATTATTATTATTATTATTATTGAAAGGCACATTTAAATATTTCTTATATATGTACTTGGAATACTTATGTAATTTCATACAAACATTTGTTTGGCCAGTTTAATATATCACCGTTCATGAAAATATTAATTATAATTTAATCAACACTAATTTATTGGACATGGAAGCCCCTAAAATTCCGACTTCTCTTGAGTGTGCAAACTACGGATATAATATGGGAATAATACATAACTCCTACAAACAAAAATTACATTTCAAAACTAATAAATTTGTCAAAATATTTCGAAATTCAGGTGTTAATTCCTATTATATATATATAACTAATGAGAAAAATTATCCTCACCCCACGCATCCCAAGGACCCACCCAACTTGTCCCCATCCAGGATCCATCTCCACCCACCCCAATACCCCACCCCAACCTTTAAAGAAATTCAAAAAATTTAAAACATTTTTTGTAGATTACAACCCACCCCCACGGAATCACTTGTGATTAATTGTGTTATCTGTGATTGAATTTTCTGTGTTATATGTGACTAATTGTGACCAGCTTTGTTTTCAGTGTAACTATCTGTGACTATTTAATTTGTGACTGTATGTAACTAAGTCACTAACATATGTTATCTATGACATCTATGATCAAATTTGTCCTCAGTGTGACTGTATGTAACCACGTCATTAAAATGTGTTATCTATAACAGGTTGTGATCAAATTTATCTTCAATGTAACTAAGTGTGACAAAATTTGTCTTTAATGTGTTTATCTGTAACCAGGTCAATCTTAGTTGTGACAGTATGTGATCAAGTTATAATTAATTACAATCAACACAAGATTGATCACAACCAATCACAATAAACACATATTTGATCACTGATGATCACTAAAAACAAATCTGTACACATCACAGATCAGCACCACCACCATCACCTCCAATGCAAGACCACTACTACTTTCAACACAAATTTACAACCATAAATAACACATTCACCTCAAATCCACAATAGCAATTACCACTACAATTTCAAATCCACAAGAACAATTACGTCAAATTTATAACAACAACCCACCACTATTATGTTACCATCACCTTCGTCTACAATCCCCTTTTGACTTTCGGCTTCTCTGTAATGGCTTCCGTTTTCCACTTTTCACTTCCTCCCAAGTATCCATGCTCAATCTCGCATCGCACTTTCAAGGTAAGCATGTCCCAACCCATAGCACCCACAGATTCTACATAGTTTACATATTTTTCCTTCATATTCTATTATACACTGTACATGCATAAGTCACATATATGACAGTAGGTCATAAAATAAAATAAAATAAAAAATAATGTAATTATATCAATCAGTATTATGTGATTTGTCCAACTAATTTCATTTTCAACTTTTGCGCACGATAACATGTGACGAGAAACATCAATTTGTGATGAGAGCATTCAATTTGTGACCAAAATATTTGAAGCATTTTGCTTTTATCTACTATTCAACAATGATCAAATCTTATGTGGCTTGCATTGGAAATTTTTGCTCGACCTGTGACAAGAAAAATCAATTTGTGATTAGCGCTTTAAATTCGTGACCACAATATTAGAAAAGCAACTACTTGAAATCTCTTCTCTTGCTATGATCAAATTTTCTATGGCCTACAATACAGGTTTGTTGGTGAACGTGCAATACAATTTTATTATGGGATAAAACAAAAATTGAGACCGAAATCTTCAATTGTGACTTGAACATTCAATCCGTAACCAAAATAATCAGATTATAACATGAATTGTCTTCTCTAACGATGACAATTTATAATTTGTTAGTTAAACTGTTCGATTATTTCCAGTACATCAGACTGATTCGAAAATCTATGATGAGAAACATATTTGTGATGAAAATGTTCAACTTGTGACCAAAATCAATCGAAAAGGTCACCTGTTTTGTCTTCTCAGACGAATGAAAGAGATCTCGTGTCGTGGAATTTTGAATTTTTGGTGAATCTGTAATTTTAGGAGGTGAATTTATATTATAGGGAGTCCTGTTATAGAAAAATAGCACGCTCAATTGTATATATATATATATTGTTTAGCCAGGTCCACTTTCTGTTTAAGATAAAAAATTCGGATCCGACCCAATTTAGAAAAGAATTTAGACGTTCAATTTCTTGCCTGGTAGACTTCTTCTTTTTCTTTTTCTTCTTCTTGTTGTTGTTGTTGTTATTATTATTATTATTATTATTATTATTAAAGTTCAAAATTTTAAAAGCTTCTTAAAATGTCTTTTTCTTTAATACATTGTATTTGACAAGAATTGAAAGTATAATGATCAAGATTTTAACTTTATATTTTGTGACTCTTGTATTGTCTACCATACAAGGATTAAATTTAAGTTTAGATATATTTGAAGATTGTTGTTCAAGTAAAATAAATATATAAATTTAATGACAGTAAACATAATCCACTCTTACTAATAATGATTGTAATGTATATATCTGGTACTATACTCTCTAATACTTCATCACCCCTATGAATAGAATTATATTATTATCATTCCATGAGATAATAGTTGGATTACTCAAATATAATGTGAAGTGATTTTTTACTTATTTTACTCGTTCAATAGTTACATCTAAGATCATTAAACTTTCAATATTGTATGAAAAATCAAAAACTCCATCACTCAATAAGTCCCCGTTTGGCTTCCAATCTCATTCTCATTCTTTTTCTTTCTTATTTTCAACCACACAATCTTTCATAAAATAATATTATATGCAAATAAAATACTTTTCATTCTTTTTCAAGTGCACATTAAAAAAAAAAAAATACTATTTCAACGATTAAAATTTGAAAAGAATGAAAGCCAAACTGGGACTAACACTCACTTTGACTCCTAAGATAGTCCAGTGGCTATTGGGCCACCTGACTTGAAAATACAATCAGCTACTTCTGAATACGGAATGAACAAATGAATCAAGATAAGCATGTTGCTGAGTCATGTGAGCTCTCAAAATATAATTTTATTGCATATGTTTGGTAAGATAGATTTCATAGCTCAAAACTTTATTATCAAATAACTATTGTATTGTAGAGTCATGTCTAATATAATATTATTTAATAATTAAATTTAGCTGTCACCCTTGCTTTCAGATGCCCGCCGGCCCTAGAATCTAATATAATATTATTTATTCTCCGTTTGGCCCCTATTTTGTGGTAATGAAAATGAGTAGAATAGTGTTTTTTTTTTTTAAAATGAGTGGTTGAAAAAGAAGAAAAAAATTTCGATTTACGTGTAATATTATTTTATGGAAGATTTTGTAGTTGAAAAATAAGAGAGAGAAAAATAAAATGTAATTGAATGAAAAATAATGGGCCAAACTGGGGCTTAATAAATAAAATTAGCTGTCACCCTTGCTTTCAGATGCCCGCCGGCCATAGAATCAGTCAACTAATAAATCCTGCTGCATAGTTACCATTGAAAACAACTTGTCACTGCGAAAATGAAGTCACGAGCCTCCCCAAGAAGAAAAAGATGCAGACAATAGAGATAAAGTAGTCCGTAACAAGCTAAAAAACAAAGATATTGTACAAACATCAATAGTAAATGACAAAGAACAACAACGAATATCCAACTCAGACCTAGCACAAATTACGGAAAATAGGAAGGAAATTGGTCACAAGGACCAAAGTTAGAGGTGGCAAATGGGTTGAGCCATTTGCTTGTTCGGCTCGTCCCAATTAGGGCAATAGATAATTCACGCCCCTATTAAGACGAGTCATGGGTTGAGTTGAGCTGGATTATTTTATGAGCCGAGCCAGCTTGTCTTGAACTCGTGGATCTGCTCATTTTAAAGAGCCAAGCCGAGCTCATTCTGCCCCAAGACCAAGTTGGGAGGATTTATAAAATTGACGTGAATAAGACACCCCCCAACCCCCCTCCCCCCGACACCTGTATAAGTAAGGATAAACATGAAGTTTATAATACAAATACAACTTCATCGGGTGAAGAAAAATACAATGGCCACTCCACATGTTCTAGCCATTCCTTATCCAGCACAAGGCCATGTTATCCCCTTAATGGAAGTTTCACTACGGCTAGTAAAACATGGCATCAAAGTCACATTTGTGAACACGGAATTCGATCACAAGAGAGTTGTCGAAGCATTATCAGAGACAGAAAACACACAAGAAAAAGAAAGTGTAAATTTGGTATCAATCCCAGATGGAATGGAACCATGGGAGGACAGAAATGAACTGGGAAAATTATCCGAAGGAATTTTGAATGTCATGCCTGGGAAATTGGAGGACTTAGTCCAAAAGATAAACGAAACAAATAGAGATAAGATTACGTGTGTTATAGCAGATTATATCATGGGATGGGCACTGGAGCTAGCCAAGAAGTTGGGAATCAAGACAGTAGCCTTCTGCTCGGCCGCAGCTGCTATGGTGAACTTACTTGCTAACTGTCCAAAGCTGATTGACGATGGAATCATCGACAGTGATGGTAAGCTTCCACTCTTTAACTATGTTGTTTAAAATGTTTTCTTATCCAGGAACATGCTTAAAATAGGGTGGCCCAACAGACAGGGCTTGGAGTGGATTCTGAAAATATAGGGTGAGTTATGTCAAGTATCGAACCAAATATGCAAAGAACTCAAGAATATTTGCAGAAGACCCAAAATAAGAAACAGAAATTTATTAACCCTTTTCTCGCATCAAAGTGAAGATGATTACATTTGGGGCTCAGACACAAAGACCGAATACCCTAACCCAGATCTCTTGAGTTGCACGTTTATTGATTAAACGGTAACCACAAAGATCACACAATAGTTCTCTCTTCGAAGAAGAACTCGAAAAGAAGGGAAGAGAACAGTCTCGAAACACCAACCCCAAATGGCAGAAGATGAAAGTGTCAAATAGGGCAGCCAAGAGTATTATTTATACCCTTATCACCAGCTATTGATTACATCTTCAGTCCAAAGGTCCAGGTTGTTTCTCAGATAACCGAAAGGTGCAAAAAAGTGTTGAGTTGCTGCCAAAGAAAAGCGCCACGCTTCAAAACACGCCTTTACCTTATTTGATCCGGATCTTGAATTTGGGCCAATATATCAGGCGGTTGCATGTTTTAATCCAAAATTGGTTTTTAGGCCATAGCCTTATCATCATTGCCCCAAGATGAAATTTGGCGTTACAGCCAACAGGGCGAATCGTATTACACTATCAGTGCCATGAGCTGTTGCTTTTGGACAAAGTAGCGGCAATACACTCTCTCACATGCAGTTTTGATTCATTTTTATAAAACATTGAACGACTTCTATCTGCTCTAAAAACATACTGAACTACCATATTTAGAGGCTTTAGTTATTAGAGAAGAAATGCAACTCTATAGTTATTAACCCAACCAATAAAAAAATTTATGTGTGTCCAAACTCTCTGTTTTACAGGAAGAGTCTTGAAGAAACAGACGTTTCAGCTATCTCCGGCTATGCCTGTAATGAACTCTGAGACCTTGGCATGGATCAGTATGGGTGACTTAGCCACACAGAAAATTATGTTTCATTTTCTAATAAACAACTGCATTTCGGCAAATGTGGCAGATTGGTCAATCTGCAACTCAACTTCTGAATTGGAGCCTGCAGCATTTGCCTTAATTCCAAATTGTAAACCCATAGGCCCTCTTCTGGCCAATTACCGCCTCGGGAAATCAAGCGGTCATTTCTGGCCACAAGAAGAAACTTGCCTAGAATGGCTTGATCAACAACCATCCCAATCTGTAATTTATGTTGCATTTGGGAGTTTCACTATTTTTAATGAAACTCAGTTTCAAGAATTGGCTCTTGGGCTTGAGCTAACGAATAGGCCATTCCTGTGGGTTGTGCGTCAAGATATTAGTACTGTCAAGTCGACCTCACCAAACATGCCAGAAGGATTCAATAATAGAGTACAAAATCGTGGGCTAGTTGTGAGCTGGGCTCCTCAGCAAAAGGTCTTATCTCATCCTTCTGTTGCTTGTTTCTTAAGCCACTGTGGTTGGAATTCTACAGTGGAAGGGGTAAGTAATGGAGTCCCTTTCTTGTGCTGGCCATATTTTGCTGACCAGTTTTTTAATCAGACCTATATTTGTGATCACTGGGAAGTTGGATTGGAATTAGAAAAAGATGCAAGGGGAATAATCAGAAAGGAAGAAATTGAGAATAAGTTGGAACAACTATTGACTGATAAAAGCTATAGAGAAAGGGCCTTGAATCTCCAAGCAAAGACCGTGGCTAGTGCCACAAAAGGGAGTTCTCATAAGAATTTCAATAATTTTGTGGACTGGATTAAGGAAAATGATAATCATTCCTTGTAAGAGCAGATGATTTCATTTTATGTACAATACTCAGTGTACAAGTGTGTTAAAAATTGTGACCGTATGTCTCATGTCTAGACATTGGATTGTACTATTTAATTGCATTTAATATTTTATATTAAATATATTTTTCAGGAAATTTAATATCCTAAACCCAGCCATAGTTCAATTTATTGAAATCAATGTACTATTATCATGATTACATAAATTGTTAATTTAGCCCCTTTTATTCTATTTCTCTAATTCTGTCATGAGCCCATCAAAGCAAAATAAAGAATTTAGATGCTAAAATCTACTTAATCTAATAATAAGTTACTTAATTTGTTAATTTGAGAACTAAATACAAGAAAGAACGACCAACTTTTTCTTTTCCATCAGCCAGTGGCAAATTTAGGTGGTGGCGAGCTAGTACGACTGTCCTATATTCACCGGCGGCCGCCCTAGCTGTATTCACTGTAATTGTCGGAATGTTGCAGAGCTGAATGCAGCTGTTCTAGTTGGATTTGCCGATCGTCAGAGAAATTTGCAGACAGAGACGCACAGGAAGAAAGAAGAGGAAGAGAGGATCATCCATATGGAATTTTTTTTTTTTTTACCTGCAAATGATCGCGCAGGAGAGTCCAATTCACTACGTGACTGTTTGAGAGAGAATTTACACAGAGAAGGGCTGTATTCACTGTAATTGTCGGAATGTTGCAGAGCTGAATGCAGCTGTTCTAGTTGGATTTGCCGATCGTCAGAGAAATTTGCAGACAGAGACACACAGGAAGAAAGAAGAGGAAGAGAGGATCATCCATATGGAATTTTTTTTTTTTTACCTGCAAATGATCGCGCAGGAGAGTCCAATTCACTACGTGACTGTTTGAGAGAGAATTTACACAGAGAAGATGGCGAAGAGAAAGATGAGGCCGTGGCATTTATAGAGTGAGCTCGTAGCCACTGGGTGTTTGGCAAAGATCAATAGTGGCTAGGCTTTGACTTTGATTTGAAATTTGCACAGACACAGTGTCTATTGCTTGAAGTTTGAATCTTGAATCTAGATTTTAGTCTTATCCTTGGCTTCACGCAAGCATTTTTTTGGGTTTCTGCAATTTGTGCCTTCGAAGCAGCAAATTGGTTTTGAAATTCTTGACCCCACAAAAACCAACTCCAATGGATGATGCTGATTTTGGATTATCTAACTGTTTCTATTGTATTTTCTAATCTAATTATTTAATGTTCTATTTTTAATACTATTATTTTAGGTTCACGTTTATATTTTAATTTTGTTCTTATGTCGTCATAAAACTCTTTGTTGGTCTTAACCTTTGGTTGTCATTGAATAAAACTGTTGACACATGGATGATTAAATCATTTTCATTAAATCAATAAATGACCAATAGCCGATCGGCCCGCACTTTTACGATCATTGATTGTCGACAGTCAATGATCAAAATCAACATTCGCCATAGCTGAACGTTCATGCTGGATTTGTTCCTGCCATCAGCTATGCAAATTTTTTGCATATGATCTATACGGCATTTTCATTTTGGGTATCTTGAGGTTGAAACCCATAAAATAAATCAATTTCTACAACACTAAAACTTGGGTACAAAGTATTAAAACTTGGGTATAAAGTAGTACAATGTAGTCTGAAGTTTCTTGAAAGTTGAAACAACTGGTCGGCCGTCATCTTCCTTTTTCAGATGGATTAAGGTTCTTTATTGCATCCAATACCAGATGAGATTACTTGTGAAGCCGAGGATCAATATCCCTTCGGGGGAGACAGTGACAGTCTCCGTGCTTACAGGTCCAAAGGATTATAATAAGGTAGGTTGCATAATAAACAAATCAGTTTGTGATTACATAGATCATTCTAAACGTTGATCACTAGGATATATAATAATATGTTTGTTTATGTTACTTAGAAAACAGTCTTTAGAAGGGAGCTGGCATATAGCCTGTTGACAAATCGGTTCACCAGTGAACGATCGAATTTGTAAGGCTCGTCTGTAAAGGGATCAAAACTATCTTGAGGACGAGTTGCTTGGCGATTAGCATCAGCTGCAATGTGGTGTTGCCTTGATGCAGATGAAACCGTGAATACTAAGTAAAGATTCTTGTTCGTCATACACGAACGGATATTGCTCGATTTCCGCTCAAAATTATGTGAAAATTACTGAAATTTATCAAATAATGTGAGAAGCTATAATATTATTAATCAAAATGAATGTAGAGTTTTCACAACCTTAACATATATTTAAATAAAAAAACAAATTTTAATCAAATCGAAATCCGAATTTTGAAGACAAATCTAAATAAAAAAAATTGTGCAAAATAAATCTGAACAAAATTAAAATACTGCAAAAAAGACGAAATTACCTTTAAACTTATCAAAACAGGAAATTGCTAAAATGAACCCCCTAAATGATGAAATTGATCACCAAATTTTGATGATATTGGTCAGAATGTCACACGGCAAAATTGTGCAGAATTGAAAAATACTTTCGAAATGTACACCGCTTACGTAAATTGACACTCAAGCTGAAAATTAATTATGTCTTTGTAGATCCTTCTTATTTATTCTCCTTTCTAATTAGTTCAGGATTTTCCCTTCTAATTGCTCCGCATTATGCTCGAAAGGACAAATGGTTCTTTCCACCAGTCTTCCTACTGTTGCTCCATCTGATAAAAACAAAATTTGAGCCTCTCACCACCTCTTTTTCTATTGGTACTCAACTTGATGGAGGATAATCAGATCATGAATAGCGCGACGTGTAACTTCTAGACCTACAAAGTTTCAGCTATAAAATGATGCCACTTTCCTCATATTGCTAAATGTGAAAGGGAAAAATTCTTTACTAAGATGTTAAGTATCACATATTTCAAAATTAAGAACAAAGGTTTCAAATTTCAAAAATAAGATATTTGTTAAAATTTATTTATGATTTAATTGGTTAATTATATATTTTATTAATTAAATATATAAATGTCATAGATCTATATAATTTGATTACAAATTAACGATTTAGTTAGTCACATATTATTTTTGATTAGAAATCACAATTTTATATGTCACAAAATTATTTTACGGTTATGATTCAAAGATTTCATAACTCACAATTTGCTCATCGGTCACAAATAAAAAATTTGTAAGTCACAATTTATTTATCGATACAAATTACAAATATTATAAGTCACAACTTATTATACAATCACAAATTATCAAATTATCTGACACAAATTAACAATTTTTTATGTCACACATTATTTTTTTAATCACCATTTATCTTTTTCACTGTTCACATATTGTATATTGGTCACAAATTAAAAAATTTAATGGTCATAGCCAACCAAATAATTTGTAACCACCATCAACACTTGCAATCACCATCTCACTATTGCCTCAACAGCACCACCACCCCCGTCGTCGTTAGAACGACCCCCACGGAATCATCACTAACTTGTGACTAACTGTGTTATTTGTGATTAGATTTTTTTTTACCAAGTCTGTGTTATATGTGACTAATTATGATCAACTTTGCCTTTAATGTGATTGTCTGTGACTGTATGTAATCAAATCACTAACTTGTGTTTGTATGTGATTAACTGTGACCAAATTTATTTTCAGGGTAATTGTCCGTGACTGTCTAATTTATGATTGTATGTAATCAAGTCAGTAACATATGTTATCTATGACTAACTGTGATCAAATTTGTTTTTAGTGTGATTGTCTGTGACTGTATATAACCAAGTCACTATCATGTGTTATCTTTGACTAACTGTGATCAAATTTATCTTCAATATGACTAAATGTGATCAAATTTGTCTTTAATGTATCTATCTGTGATAAGGTCAATATTAACTATGACGGTATATAATTAAGTTACAATTAACACAGAATCGATTACAACTAGTCATAATAAACATATATTTGAACGTATCTATCTGTGATCAGGTCAATCTTAACTGTGATGGTATGTAATTAAGTCACAATTAACACAGAATTGATCATAATCAATCATAATAAACATATTTTTGATCACATATGATCACCACAAATAAATCTGCATACATCGTGGACCAGCGTTACCAGTTACCACTATCATCACTTCCAATGCATCACCACTACCACCTTCAACTCAAATCCACAACCATAAATAACACCTTTACCTCAAATCCACAATAACAATCACCACTACAATGTCAAAGCCACAACAACAATTATCTCAAATTTATAACAACAATCCACCACTATTATGTTACCATTACCTCCGTCTACAATCATGTTTTCACCTTCGCTTCTCTATAGTGGCTACCATTTTCCACTCTTCACTTTCTCCTAACTATCCATGCTCAACCCCGCATCGGCATGTTAAGGTAAACACGTCCCTACCCATAGCATCCACAGCTTAAAATACCCATAGCTCAACCATTACCTCAAATTACTGAAGTCGCAATCATTAATTAAGAGGAATCCTTCATTGTGGAGGTCAAGAAATTCGATTAGATCGACTTTTGATTTGACTCAGTCTAACTGATTGGCATCCGTGCAAGAAAACACAGTTGTGGAGAAGAAGAATCACCACCGAGAAATGCATTTTGCGTCTACAGCGGTGTTTGTCACTGTGTCGACCACTAAATGAACGAGAAGGATGGCAGACACAGATTTTTTCATCTATCTTACCTTCTTGGCACTACACCAGAGACGGAGAACAAGATGGAAATTAGACTCCTTCTGGATGTTGTAGTCGACGATGGGTGCGACCGTCCTCGAGGTGGTCGGAGTTGGTATAGATAACAGATATACATAAGGTTTGGGTTGTGTGGGGGTAGGGTGATGTTGGGTAAGGTCTCGTTTTTGTATGGTTTGGGGGTAGGGTGATTTTGTATTGATACTTGACTTTTGAAAAAAAAAATTATTTGAATCATGATTTTTCAAATGTAAAATTAAAATACAGGATTTTATGTAATTTCCTCATATTTATCGTTCCAAGGCCCATAATCATACAAAACTACACGATGTAAAATAGTTTAGCTAGTCCAGTTTCTATTTAAGATAAAAAAAAGAAGGGAAAATTACACCATTGCAGGTATTTAAAGACCACACTTCAAAAATTAGGTATGAAACATATTTAATCAGAAATCATGTAATAATTTAATATTTTA